TTCCTATTTAAACTTCCTATTTAAACTTCCTATTTAAACTTCCTATTTAAACTTGATTAAATTTAAAGCCTTTTGATTTCAGATGTTTAGCCAAATGAATAGTCATCTCGTGTTTGAAGGTTTCTTTCATGAATTTGTTTTTTTTCTTCTAGAAAACTGAATTGAGAATTTACGACTTCACTTAAAGACTACTAGGACTAGGAGGCCCTGGAAAGTGAAGGAATTCTGTCTTCTCATAGAACCTCAGGATCTGGGATGCCGTTCCTTCTGCTGTAGTAATATTTTGTACTACCTTTGAGCAAAACATTTAAGAACTAACGTTACTGATACTTGAATGATTCACTGCTCCTAGGTTACGAATAAAATAAACTTAATTCCATCCTTAAAACACCATGAACAAGAATTACTCCGGAAGGTGCTTAGGGGTGGACCTTCCGTAATTTCTGATCTCACTGTTGTCAGATAATGGGGAAAATGTCATCTTTGTAAAAGAGTAAATGAAAAATATGTAAAATTAACATAGAAATAATTTTACAGTCATGGGATCTCTGCCTGTTTTTGCCAGGGCTCCCTTCTATCAGCTGAGAACAGTAGTGACATATGAATTTATGGATTCCTTACACACTGTAAGCCAGTGGGGGGGATACAACACAGCTCTGAGCCCTGGAGCCGGTTATTTTTGCTGCTAAACCACAGTGGAGCCAATTTCCTTGTAAATGGCTCAAAAAGGAAAATTGAATGTTTCACTTATCCATAAAATTGCAAAGGAATCTAGAGATCTGTTATAATTTGTCTTGCAAGGCAGAGCTGTTGATAAGGGGGGAGGTGTCAGGTATCGGTGTGCAAGCAGTGTGTGGTACAAGGGATTCTTCTAAAGAGGCTGCACCTTAATTTAATGTTGATAATTGTATTCTTCATGTCAACACCTTGGCCTAAGTAAAACGTATAGGAAATGCACAAGGTTTCAGTGGAGATTAAAAACTAACTCTGTAAGAATATCTCTAAAATTTTAGAAAGCTCACTGTATTTAAGTAAGTCTTCTGATGTCAGTTTATGGCAAATTAAAATAAGATTTTACCTAGTCCTACTCTCTTTTGGACTTCTCCCACTCATTAAAATAAAAGGCAATTCCTGTGTTTTTCTCTTATCCTCCTACTTCCTTGCAAAACAATTTTTTGAGGCTAATTTTGGTGCTGATTTGTTTCCTTTCACAGATTATTTATTAACCAATATGCAGATAAATGTACAACCTCGTGAAGCTGGCTTAATTGAAAAGCATGCTTTACAGTTAACTTTTAAATACATATTAAGTTATCTAAATCTCTGGAAAATGGAAGTGCATTTAATACCACATTTTTTGTCAAATTTAGGACATTTATTTGCTATAAATAAATACATCATACCCTAACATCTGTTTAAAGTTGGAATATTTATAAGTACCACCATGTTATCTGTGCTTTCATTTTTCAGCCAGAGTAAATATTACAATTTATTCTTAAGGAAAATAATTTTCTGTCCTTCCTGAATTTTTCTTATGGTTTGGAAAGCATTTTTCATACAAGTTATACTGTATAAAAATGTAAGACAAACATTAAATTCTGTGATTATCAGAGCAATTTTAGTCATTAGTTGTGTTATTTTTTAAGCGATTTTTCCCTCTTCCATTTTTTTTTGGTGTAAAGTTGAATTAAAAAAAAATAAACCGAGACCATCTTTGAAGACAGCTGCACTAATCTGGTGGTTTGATGTTTCGTATGGGGCCTCCTGCCATCCTCTGAAGCCAGCCATGGTGCCCCTTGTTTAAAGTCTCCCTAGTTTTAATAACTTGAAATGATGGAAGCTACACAGGGAGTTTATTTTAGCTTAATCCTGATTAAAAACCAACCCCCTCCTTACTAAGCGGCACTACAGAGCACCTTTCCCCCTTGCTAACAAGGCTGCATTTGGGTATTTTAAAGCTTTCAAAGGCAGGATAGACTTTACCAAAGGTACCAGCTGTTGTTAGCGTCCCGGTGAAACCATGCAGCGTGTTATCTCTGTTATTTATTCATATCTCAATAAATGAGTCCCTCCAGAGGCTGTATTTGATTTGACTTCTCTCACTGCCCTGCGGCTGCTGCCTCAGGTGCACCCAGCGCCCCGTGTAGCCCCGACCCAAGGAGCCCCCGAGATGGGAGCGTCAGGTGGGGAGGTGGGGCCTGTTCGCGGCCACCCAGGGCTCCAGCGAGCGGCCACTTTTATCACCTGATGGTGCCTGAGGAGGCACGGCCTTAATTAGGGACAGCGACACCACAACAAGTCACCAGGGTGAGACCTGGCGCACGTTGTTCCTGCTGGAGCTCCCTGAAGGGCTGCTGGCCCCGAGAGCGGCTGGGAGCAGCAATGGGGCCGGCCTGTCACAGGGCAGCCCCGGAGCCACCCCCTCACATGGTGCCCCAGAGCGGACTCGCACCCTCAGCAGCAGGTGGGACCCACTCGGGCAGGGCCCCGGGCAGCTCCCGGCCCAGCCCCACGGGATGGAGGCCCCACGCTCCCACCCCTGTGCGCACAGCGGGATGCGGAGCAGCACTGAGGGGCCCCGGGACTGCTGCACAGAGAGGCAACGAGAACTGAACAGCGGGCCCCTGTGGAGCCGGGCAGCTGCAGGATGCAAGGGACACACACACACACATTTATGGGAGAGCACATCCTTGTCCTCACTAGGGCACTGCCTATCCTCATTTTTCCTCCGATTTCCCCCTTTATGCTATTACCGACCAAAAAGGCAACAGAGATGGTGATACAGTGGTATGAAGGAATGCAATATTGCCCCGAGCTTTGGAGCTGCAGACGACAGGGAAAGCTTGGATGAGGCACTAGTGCAGATAATGGCACTAAGTTCAGCATGGGAGCTCACCAGCTAGGCCTGTGAAATTGAGAAGCTGCAGAAGGTTTTTCATTCATTCCCTGCAAGCCGAGTGCTTTAGAGTAGCTGTTCACACACTGCACAGCACAATTTGTTTTTACTTTGATAGTATTTCCTTACCTATAATCTGATTTTTTAAGTAAAAGAGCAGCATCCTTTTCCCCCACCCCACCCCTTACAGATAAACACATTTAAATATAAGGAAGATTCTGAAGAAAACCAGTCCCAGTGAGCCAATACATAGACAAAAACACAGCCATAGCAGCAAGACTGCAGTGCTTATTTTTATTTTATATAGGACAGAGTGCAAAGCATATATTTTTAAAAGCTCGCGGCCAGCAGCAGGATCAAGGCTGCTGGGCGAGCGGGCACAGGCAGGCCCAGCAGTACTGAACACGCGCGGCGGCGGCAGCTCCCGGGCTCCCGGTGCCGCATGCACGGGGGCTCCGGGGGCCCCGGCGCCCGCTCCGACCGTGGGTGCTGCCGCCCGGCGGGACCATCGCCGGCCACAGCCCTCGGCCTCGGCCAGGTGACAGCAGAGAAACCGCCCCGGAGAGCCTGGAAGCCGCAGGGCTTAAACACAGGACCCGCAGGCAAGGAGAAGCCTGGGCCCTGCAGGCACAACTGGGCACAGCTGCCTGCCCAGGAATACTCCACAGGAAGCAGCTTTAACCTTCCATTATTACATTTGATACAAAAAAAAAAGGTATTTTTCCCTGCAATGTCTCTTAAGTTAAGCAGCAATGCCAGGTTTTCTGTCTGCTCAAGTTAAAGAGGCTATTTGAAACAAACTATGTGGAAGAAAAATGCTAGGAGACATTTTTAGGAAAATCAGCACTGAACTCTACCTTTGCTGTCACCAGGCTGAAAACCAGATAGTGAATGGAAGGGATGTGCGAAGCCTGCAGTGGTGCCTGCGCAAGCGCGACCGCAGGCCTGGGCTGCGCGGCCCCCGGGCGCTCCGCTCTTCCGCAGCGCTCGCTCGCGTGTCAACCTGGGAGCGGTGGCGGAACCACGGGATGTGCCGGCAGGCCTCACGGTTATCGGGCTAAATGAGGAGTTGCACGGATTCTTCCCGCCTAGTGCTTCAGCGCGCGCTATCATCTCTGGTTCTGTGCACCTGTGTTAGGGTACTTAAACGTCAGACCTTTGAGTAGCCCTAGAGCTTATTGTTATGGTTTAAAAAGTTTAAATAAAAGCTTGATCCTCGCAGCTCTTTATGGAAAATGCAGTAGGGTGACATCTTGAAGATGAACAGCCACTATGGCTCAAAATGATTCTTCAAGGGAATGCGAATGCACTGTACTGCAGAACGGGAAATGCTGTCACCGCCTGCAAGCTACTGATCACAGCAGCTTTGGTGCTGACAATTTCCTAACATGTTCTTCATAAAGGATTTTTCCTTACTGCAAAAGTGATTCTCACAAGACGCTTTTCTAAACCACATTTATGCAATTCTTTTTTACACTTGTAGCAAATACCAGTGACTATTTCAATTAAGGTATGATTTTTCATTAGAGTTCAGCACATTCCACATACACAAAGTGGCCTGCATTTTTAACATGAACTAAAGAACTTCTGCTCCTTAGTCTTCTATTGCTCATGCCTCCATAGCGCGCCCCACGCAGTTCTCCCCTCCTTCTTTCCACGCAGCAGTTTAACACGTCAGAGGCTGCAGAAGCTGCTGCCTTAGTGAGGGCAGCAGGTTTGCTCACCAGGTCTGGCAGCTTTCTAACCTTCTGCTTCACTATGATGGGCCCCAGCTGCAGGCCCCGTGCAGGGTAACACCAGCATTCTGCACTGTTAGCGAGTAGCTCTTCAGCCACCTCAAAGAAATTAGGATTTTCCCCTCTCCCTTCCCAATTCTTTGTTAGCTACCTGAAAGGACAAGCAGGAAACCTAGCGGACATAGGGATTTTTGACTCAAAACCCCATTCCTTAAGTCTCATGTTGCAGGAAGCTATGCAAGGAAGGGACAGCTCCCTGCCCTGGCCATGGAGTGTGAATTCTCCAAGCCTGGAAAGCAGCCTGAGGAAGTCACAGCAAATTGCTAGGCTCGCGGCACGAAGCCAGCGGGGCTCGCACTGCCACCCAGCACCTGCCATCGCTTAACTGACAGCACAAACCTGCAAAATAAAAATCTTCAATGAGACAACTCAAAAAGAACAAAAATTAATACTAATTAACTTACCATCTTTTAGCTACAGCAACCCTTTAAAATCTAACCCCACGCATTTTCTCATGTTGCATTTTTGAAGTATACTTAAAAGGCTTTTTGGCCCTCATTACAAAGTCTAACACTGGAAAGAGACTTGTAACTCAGCTCCTAGGGAAATCTAAAATGTGGCTGTGAACGTACAATATAATAGTCTATGAACTTGCAGTACATTTAGTCTTTAATACGTAGCAGCTTCAATATCAACAACACTTCACTCATCAGCCAACACTAAGATGATTTTTTTGTTCTCTAACATCTGACATGAGGAAGAACATGAACACACACACATGCTCCATGCTTTCTAGTTAAAGCAAGAACTGCTGAAGTGTTTTGCTGCTCAAGCCCTTCCTCAAGGCCAAGTCTAAATGATTACAACAACTCCAACCAAGAATATATGAATTGCCTGAAGTTTTCTTCCCGCACCCCATTTGTCTAGCAAAGGATGGGAAGCAGCAGAACTACGGGCAGCCTTTGCAACACTGCAAGGAACCTACTGTTGAGTTCACTGCAAACAGCACTGCCCATTTTAACCTTTCGTGGAATGAGATAAGCAGAGAAATAAGGCATTTCAACAGGGTGTTAAGACTTCAGTTTCCCGCCATGAATGGGGACATCAGTTTTGCATAAAGGACATATATTCAACTTGGTTCCAAAGGACGAGTCTCAGATGAGCCTACGTTGAAGCACAGGTAGCTATGTTGTACTTAAGGCAATTAGCATGTATGAATAAAACAGCTCCCCACTTCCTAAATGCTTGCACATCACTTAAAAACAGTGAACAAAAGAACAATGTTTTGCCAAGTAAAGTGTTAAAGAAATACAACACTCTGACTTCTCAATAAGGTGCAGTAAGTGAGATAAATAAAAAGTAGCATAAAGGCACTTGATACCCACTAAATTTTGTACAGTAGTTTCACTTTAGAATCAAGAAATCAATAGTAAAAGCAGATTGCTCACTTGAAACACTCTAAATTTGGCGAGAAAACTTAGCAAGACCAAACTAGTGTTATTGGACAACCTGTAAGTGTGCAAAAAATCTCTTATCTTGATGCTACAAACTAAATCCAGACACTGTCAGGTGCTGAGCATTATTCCTAGCTTCAAAATAAGAGGTATCAGTTTCATCATCAGGCTGGGGTATGAAAGGCATCGTTTGATGCTGTAGATTATCCCAGTCCACACCGTCAAAGAGGGGGTGGCGTTGCAGCTCTGAAAGAGAAGTTCATACAAACATTAGGCGTTTCCTTCTATCCAGGACCCAGAGGCACCTTTTTCACTTGGTGAAAAGTCATCACTTTTTTGGTTCTGTTTTACTCTTCTGCAGAGCTCAAGCTCCACTGCAACTAGGTTGTAGTTATCCCCATCTCAGTGAGGTGAAACTATTGACACAGCAACAACCTTCCTTCCCCCACATCGAGATCCTGTCCTACACAGCCCATACACTGGCTCAGAGATACCTAGGGGCTGTCACAGAAGAGACATTTTTCATCACTGGACACCACAAGCATTTTAAACTAAGTCTGTTTGTAGTTTTTGTCTAAATCCTCGAGTGAAGACATACAGAAGTCACTGCAAGCCTCCATCACAGGCCACCTGTCCTTTCCCTACCTGCATACTTGGAGACTAAAAGCCACCGATGGTCAAATGCCCACAGCCCATCAGGCTCCTCTTTCCCAGCTACTGGAGGCAGGACAACCAACCAAGCTGTAAGCTTTTCCCTCCAGGACTTCCCTGTCCTGCTCATTTTGGCCACCAGACTTTCTGGCATGTAGCATTTGATGATGAACTTCTCATCATAAAACATCAATCCATAATGAAAGTTGTTTTGCTAATCTGATTAAATCAGGGAAGCTATTTTTCAGCTGAGGGGGGATAAATCACCATTACGTTTATTGTAATGTGATGACAGCAGGAAGACTGGAAGAAACAATTATGTCATATTTTAGCAGTTTAGCATATTATAGCAGTTTAAACTGCACTAAAATCACAGGCAACCAGCTTTTTCACCCTATTACACAAGTTATTGCCCTTAACATTAACTTTATTAAAACATCCTCAAACTAAGACCTTAGATGCTTTAGAGAGTCATTAAGAAGCCAAGGATTTCCCAGCTGGCATCAGGCACACTTATAAATGTGGGCCTTCCCTAATCCGAGTTGGCCTAATTTCATCTTCCAGCCTTTGGTCTCTTCACAAGTAACCACTTGCACAGTAATTTCCTTAATTAACAATCTCTCAGGCAGCTTTCTCAAAGATTTTTCCTTCCCCGCCCCCGCCCCCCCCCAATTTCATGCAGTAAGTTTTCTTCCGTGTTATTAAACTTCAAAAAATGTAGTCCCTATTATGAAAGCAAGGGAGCCTAAGCCCCTCTACAATTGAGATATAAAAATACACACACACTTTGTAAAGTACTCCCACTGTCTAACTCCATGTTCTCTGTATGTTCAGTGTAGAAATGCAGATTCCTAAAATAGTTCCTTGAGTTGTCCTCTTTTAAGATGCTTTCCCTCCAAGCCACAGAAACCTTGATTACATGCCTAAAATTAATTACAGCAAGATTCCCCAAACATCTGTTGCAGGGATTTGTTGTGGACTTTGGTATGTCCACAACATGGCCACAAATAGTGGACTTTGGTATATCAGATGTCAAACACTAAACATTCACAGCAAAACACACATTAAGGTAAAGAAGAGTTCTGTATCTGCTGAAAGAGGAAAAGTCAAACCTTGCCACAAGCAGCACAGCAAATTCAGTGACTCAGTAATTGTGCTGACACTGTATATGGAGCCTAAACAGGCATCTACACTTGCTAGTCTAGTCTAAGTTTTAAGAGGACAACGCTTTCGTGTGTTAAGAGCACAAGAAATAAATTCAATACCAACCCTTCAGTCCAGCTCTCTTAGCACTGTCAATGGTTAAAAGAATATCTATTGCGTTTTGGGCATTATCAGACAGCTTTTCGTCACCCTCAGGCCAGGGAATATCTGTGGGTAAAGATGCAAACGAGTCAGTAATTCAAACCATACAACAAACTTTGTTACAAAGATGCTCCCCTAATCACTACAACAAATTACCTCTTTTTAAAATATTTTGGAAGACCTGTGCTGGCGTTTCATCGTTAAAAGGTGGGATTCCAGTTAGAAACTCAAACAGACAAACTCCAAGGGCCCACCAGTCCACAGCAGAACCTGAAGAGGGGAAAGCCAGGCCATTAAATAAAACAAAGCTACTTAATCAACGTTGCATTTGTCACACATAATGGTACGTGCAAATATTAGAAGATTAGGCATAGCAAAAATGTAAAAACATTTAAATTCTCCAAAAAGAAAAGTTTTACTTAATAATCATTTCTAAGATGAAAGATTGGTTAAGGGCTTTTTCAACCCCCTCCCCAGTGGCTCCTTTATTCATTACAGTCCCAGCATTATCAGTGCCTGTCACAAAGGATTCATAGGTGGCCTTCTCTAAGGGGCTGTTTTCTGGATCAAACACTTCCACACCTCCCCTAGAGATGAATGCTCCATGCTATAACCCCACACCTTCCTCTCATTTCTTTGACAAGACTCCAAGAATTCAAGCTTTTGAGCTTCATTTTCATTCATCGAAATTTTCTGCCAAAATATTGATGACAGCTTGTGCAGACAAACCACCACGTGAAGAGTTTCCCATTGCATTGAGGTTGATTGGTGCAGTGCCTGTAGCCACAGTGTGCAGTCACCAGCTTTTGTGCCTTCCTTAAGTGGCTTTGCACCCTTGGGTTCCAGTTTTTGCCCCATCTTATTAATCCATTTATAAAGAAGCAGGCAGAGCAACCCCAAACACCACTGCATGCGCTCTAAGCTTTCTGCATCTTTAAGCCATGCTTGCTCCACTGTATAAAGAATGAATGAACTTGCTTCAAAAAAAAAATAGCTTTTTTGTTTGCTTGTTTATGTGTATAGATACTATAAATAAAAAAAATATAAAAAAGCTTTAAGTCACTTTTTAAGTAACCTCAAGGCAGAAAAGCAAATTTTTCAGTCATTTCAAAAAGTCCATTTGACCAAATATCAGCATGTCTGAAAACGGAGTTATACAACTGCAACTAAAAATAATGCAACACACTTTTAAGCAGCGTGTTACAGCAGTGAGAACATCTCACCAAGCTGAGCATTTCCAAGCAGCGAGGTCACATCCACTATTGTTAGATGTACTTAGATAAAATATTCTCCATTGTAGCAAAGTGTAAGAAGATCACAACTCCAAAGCAGTGTAGCGGGTTTCAGCTGAAACTTCCCCCGTTCAAGTCTGACTAATTAAGACTAAATCCTACCCTACCACTTTCCCCATCTATTAACACAAAGCAAGAATCAGAAATGAGAGTCTTGCGTAGGTCTCATAGATTGGAATCGTCTTTGCCACATATACAAACTGATTCCAACTGACTGCATAAAAATGACAGCAAGTAATGAGGAAAATCATCTCTCTGGTTTATTTCCCATTACAAGAAGTCACCCAGAAGGCACCTGCTGACTTTTCTCCTGCAGCATGAGCTTCAGCGTGCGACTTCTGATAGCCCAGGCACAGAGATATTGAAGTTTCCTGGATTTATTTTTTTTTTGGAAGCATCCACACATTATGTGCAGCACATCCTGGACATATACTTCCATATATAAAACAGTATTAATCAAACTTTTTTTTTTCTTGGAAATTGTGATCTAATTATACTTTGACTGTTCACAGGTTTGCTGAACACGCCTTTTCTATGCAGCCCAAAGCAAACTCACCAGAGGTCAGAGTTCCTGCATATGAAAAGATAATGAAGGGCATTACAATTACTGCAAACAGCCTAACAAATCTAAACACCAGTAAATATTTTAGGTACAATTCTCTGAGTGAAGGCAAAGGAATGTAGACTTTTTTAAGCTGTTAGCTCAACAATAAAACAAAACGTTAATGTTAAGTATGAGTTAACAAACAGGAACAAATTCTCATAACATCATAAAATATTTTAATATTGCAGCTACATTTATAAGCAAGTTAATGACTCCAAAAGTATTTGATGAAGAAAAGTTTTAAGTTTCAATTCTAGAAAATCCTGGTAGGACTGAAGTTAATGGGAAATTTGTTGTTTACCCAAAGGAAACTGCAAACCCTTTGAAATCATCACTCAAGTCCTGAAAACATTTTATAATTGTGTGAAAACCATTTTGAAACTAAGTTTTTCATTCTCTCTATAGGATTTTTTTTCATTCTCTCTATACGATTGATTATATCAGGTTATCAAGTTTTCATGTCTGCCAAATATCCAAGATTCCTCAATGAAAATGCAAAACAATAGTTAAATAATTATAGTTGTCACATTTAAATAGTAAATATATTTAATGCCATTTTAATTAACATTGGTTATACAAAGCAGAGCTCTCCTATTACCCAGATTAGTGATCTATCCATTTTTCAAGAAAGATTCAATAGCAATATCAACATAATTGGTAAGACTATCACCTTTAGAAAACAGTTAATCTAGGAGCACACTTTTTGTGATGTGTGATTGTAAATATAACAAACTTACTCTGGCACGCACCGATTTTTTTGAAAGGTTCTTTCAAATCAGCAGGAAAATATTTCAGCCTTTTCACTGACCTCAGGGTTTTTTTTGTGCAGAAATTATGAAGTTTATGCACTTGTGCTGAGAAAGAAATACCTGATTGCTACTGGTTTTCAGTAGATGAGAGATCCTGTCACAATACTTCACAGAATCTATAAAATCACTTCAAGAACTGATTTAAGGCAATTTTGTAAACTGGGCCAACTGCACATAGTGCTTTGGTATCAATAAACGTGGGATGTTTTGTTTGAGAATAATTGGAAACATGATCCTTTTATACTAAATTTGGCTAAATTACAACAAACAAGTCTAAGCGCACCCAGAATGGCCACGCTGTGGTTCCTAAGCCAGCCTGAGGTCTCACGCTGCCTAAGTGCAGTTTCTGATTAAATTAGCAAGGTTATGTCAAAGAGCCCAAGCCTCTGGCTATTGGCAAAAATAAAAATTAATGAGCTACTGAGGCAAACAGTCATGAGTAGTGGCAAACACTGGGCTCTAGATATTAAAAAGAAAAATGTAATACAAGTTTTTATTACTCTAAAGACACTGTCAACCTGCAAATACTTGTAACTCTAACGGGTTGTGTTCCTTACCATGAGGCTTTGTCAAAAGCAGCTCAGGTGCCAGGTAGTCCGGAGTCCCTAAGATCCGTTCACCTTCCACAGGGGCAGCTCCTCTTCTTACGCTTTTTGGGGTCCTGTACGGCGTGCCAGCATCGCCCTGGTGAGGGGTCTGGGGCATGCAATGAAAGAGTTCAGATGTCAAAGCAAACCTGTGCTCCTGCCCACCCCCTGCCCCATGCCCTAGGGGCAGCTGCCGCTTGAGACTTGGAAGTCAGCAGCTTGTTACAAGCTGTACATTCCCAAGCACGGACCAAGTGTAATTCCATCTTTATAGCATTAGCCTTAGGGTAAATAATGCCCCCTAAAAASACGCAGTTAATGCCTTAAAGAAAGCACACAACATTCCCTTGTAACTCGGAATCTAAAAAAAAAAGGCACTTTGATTACTAAAAAGAACACCCAAAGAGACTTAATTTTTGCATTGTTCTCAATACTAGCCAATATAAAGCAAGTATATTGTGTCAAATGATGCCCTTAAGATGCCTGAATATCATTCACTACATATAAAATATCCTCTAGAGATATTGAATGAGCTTTGTGACGTCTAAGCTGTATCCTGGGAGTTGCAGAATGACTGTTGATGAAATTCTGCCCATTTAGACTTCTGCTCCTGTTTACAACTACAGAGGCCTTCAGAAAGCAATCAGGGACAAACCTGAAGACACCACAGGCAAACCTGCAAGTGGATCAAAAAATTCTCCCTSTTAACAGCCTGACTGCAATGTAGAATTTCCCGTTATGGCCTACAGRGGCTATTAAAACATTTGGCAGTTGCACTGGAATTAAGGCTATGTTAAAAGATAAAGAATGCGAGTATCTGGGTGCAATTTGTTTTTTAACTTTGTCTTCAAGGCACCAGATCAATGTGTTACCACTGTTCCTAATACAGGCTCTATAATCCACTAGTGAAATAGTAAATACACAATCATCTACCATGGTGCTGTTTTGTGACACCCTTAAATACTTCCAACTTGAAACTTAAATAGGGGATAGCTTTTTACATACTTTAATCCATCAGTCATTTATCCATTTAACAGCAGGTGAAGTACATGTTAATCCTGATGCCATTTCAGATGGCTGCAAGTTTTATAGGGAMTAAAATTTTACGGTGAACATAAGCAAGCAATTGAGACAAGGACATTAGAAGAAAAGCAAAGGACTTCCCCAAAATACTGCTCTGAAAGTCTCCTTTCGGCACACCAAATTATTCACTTAGTTACTAAAAAGTGTTTTTGGGGTTTTATCCAACAGCTTTAAATCCTACAGCTCAAACTCAAGCAACTGGACAAAGGTTTTGCAAATCTGTACTAGAATAAATCAGTAAGCATGGACTAAAAAGGACACCTATACCTGTCCCACATCTAGGGCTCCAATTTATTTTGAAATTGTAGGATTTTATTTACTATTAATTGGATAAACTCCCTCAAAGCAAAATCCTCATAACATGCTGGCAGCTGTTACTACTTTCATCATATGCTTGTAAGGGGCACTTGGCAGCACCAGCACCCATCACAGCAGCAGCTCTACCAAAGGGGACACACACACACACACACACACACACACACACACACACACACAGAGCAGGCTCGAGGCACCAGCAATCCAACAGCTTTCACAGACCACACTGGGCATCAGGAAGGTAAGTGAAAGATACCCAACACATCATCAGAAAATCTAAAATAACCCCCAGGAAGTACCACCGCACCAGGAATAGGTTGGGCCAGAACAGCACCGTGTTTCCTCACCTGTTCACAGTCAAAGCAAAGGAGTTCTGTGAGAGGCACCCTAAGCAGCTGCCTGGGGGRGCAGGGGCAAGCAGCAGACATGCAGGTATTGCCAAGCTCTTACTGAAAACAAGCATTTGTGGCCACACAAATGCAGCAAGCCCAAGCCTGCCAGTGCAAGTTATCTTTGACAAACTACTGACAATTGCCTTTTCTAAGTTACCGACCAAGAGGAGAATTTCACATTGCTACTASGTAACACACACAGAATTTCGGCACGTCTCATCACAGACCTGATACACCCTGTGTGGTCTTCCTTTCTGTAACGGAGTGATGGCTGTGGGGTAAGATCCACTACAAGCAGGAGAAAGATCCATCATCTCCAAGGAAGCCATGCTACACGGCTCAGATGCGTTGGACACGTTAATTGGACTGTTGTAACTCCGGAAAGCAACAGCATTTCGCTTGAAGAGGTTCACTGCTTTCATCATCTTTTCTGAAGGAGAAGATACTGCCTCCAGGTGAGTTTCTGTCCCATGTTTTTGGCCATTATCCTGTGCATGATGCAAYGACCTGCAGTCCTGGACAACACTCTCTTCTCCGCTTTGTGAAGCGCCTTGCAAGCTTGGAGATGTTATTAGGGCGCCTTCAGGTTTTGCTTCTTCAAAGGAGATGTCTTTGACACTTTGATCCAAATCTAAGAGCTGCTTTTCTAAGTGGCTCTCTGCAACAGACGTTTCAGGAAAGGATAAATCAGAGTCTGCACTGAGGATTCCTAGAGGCTTTTCATCATCTGTGCCCAAGAAACTGGAATTCATAAACTCCTTCTTATCATCCTTGTCACAGTGTGCATCCAGGTCACGCATAAGATTTTTAGCTATTAGGGGAGTAACGGATTTATCTAGTGCTTGCTGCCTACCAGTAGCACCCTTCACTTGTTCCTTGCTTTYGCAGGTCTCTTGTAGGCACCTATCATCACGAAGCATTAAGGACTGAATTTCTGTTGTCAAACCTGACCTTTGATTTACCTGAAATTCTGAGATTTGACAGCCACGCTTATATTCTGCATTGCTTTTTTTAACATAGTTAAGCTCCTGACAAGGACTAGTGTCAACTAGTTCAAAGCATCTTTTAACACCAGGTTTTTCAAAAATTTCTTCCTCTTTGCTAGGCTTGAGAGGGTCTTTCATCCATGAAGGTGACTGCTGCTGACTGGAAGTTTCTGCTTTTTCATTAGTCGTATCATTTTTATTCGTGTTAAGTTTTTCTTCCCAAATCTTATTTTCAGAGAGACATTTTCTGACTATGCCTTTCGCATCCAGTGTGGTTACAGGAGTACCCATCACATCAGAACATTCTGGTACCAATTTCTGCCTGCTGCCAGAATCATTGCTACTGATGGGAGAAACGGCTGACTCGAGTTCTTTCTTCTTCAGCTCTTTGATATCTTTGTCATTCAGTAATTGCACATTAGAAGGGAGAGTTGGCTCACTGTTATTTGCATTGCCTGCTGCAGAACACAATTCATCTTCAGTTTGCTGAAAATAAGAACATTAAAAGTTGAGTATCAACTCAACAGAAAAATACAATCACAGCTTTACAGAAGTATGCCCTTGAATATATCTTCTTTCCATTTCAATACGTATTTGAAGTTAGAAAAAAATTACTTAATTCTTTCTAACCAGTAGTAGTGGTTAATAAATGACACATTCCAAAAAAAAGTAAAAAATAAATTTGGGAATAAGCCTGGTAATTTGACTTTAAGACACACACACACACCCCTTGCTAGAATACAATAGACAGCCCAGTAACATTTTATATTGAGAAATTAAACTAACCCATCCTAACCTCTTTAGAGGTGACAAGAGAAATTTGGATTTTACTGTTAGCTTTGGCAGCACACTATTAAAAGTAAGGCCTTGGAAAGCACATGGATAAAAATTACTGCGCAGTTTTAAATGCAAATTCTTCTGTTTTGTGTGTGAGCTAAATGGGGATAGAGACAAACTGTTAAGTGACAAGGCAGCATTTTCCTTTAGGTCTTTTACATCAGTCTGTACAGAATTGCATTAACAGTTTAAAATTGGAGAAAGCATTTATAGCCTCTATCACTAACTACATATGCTCAGTTAATTACTACAAAAAACTTTCAGTACTAAGAATCTTAAACACTTCAGCTTTTCCTAAGTGGTAGCAGACTGAAATGTGTATGTTATATACATATTTTTTCCATTTTCTGCCTTTTCACAAAATTTTCCTGTCTGCATGCTGGGCAAATAAAACTATAGTTATAAGGTCAGTTTCCAGAGAGCAAGTACTCCCAGTATTGTGTATCCTGTGGRGAATAAAGCAAAACCCAGGAGCAGCCTTCACTTCACCCCCTTTCCTGCAGGCTGGGTGGCGTTTGCTCTCCTGTTGCATATGGCTACTGTAACTCGTTCCTTGGGATGGCAGGGAAGGGGAGGAGGAAGGAGAAGGAAGGTGGCAAKAATAGTTTGATCCAAAATACTCCAACTCAACAAGGATTACAATGAGCTCTTTTCCGGCAGTTGGACTTTCTCTACATTTGGAATACCTACAAAAAGTGAAGAAGATTTATACATATCACATGTATAAGCACAAGGTCATTTTAATACGTAGTGGGAAAAAAAGAAAAGATGAAGCAATCCTGACCTCTACATCTTTCTCCCACCTTGGGCTGCTGCAGCATTCGGATTCCATACTGGACACACGTGTGCTGGCACTGGAGGTACCAAACTTTCTTCTCGAATGCAGCAGAGATGGAGTTAAACTTCTCACTGGCATCCCAGGGGAGAATGCAGAATTATCAAGGCCTTGCAAAGAAAACAAACAAAATTTAAAAAACCAAATACTCAAATATTGATCCAAATAGCAGCATATATAGCATACGTTATCCAGCTTCACGTTACATCAAGCTTTCACTCCTTGAAATTATGGAAGGCTGGGGAAGGTACAGCTATTTTTTCCTCTTGTCATCTTTCCTGCATAATSTGTTCACTCATTTTTCAGAGGTAGGGGTTTGGCAAAAGCATTAAAAACAACATTAGTATTAATATGACAGCAACTTTCTTTTTATTTGTGGCTTGAAAATCTCAAAGCTTGAAAATAAGAATTTAAATGGAACACATGTGTGGCTATATTAAACTCAAAGTATGGCAAGAACTGTCACTACTTCCATAAAATCTTAAAGGGTGATTTTGAATTCAGAGGTTGCACAGTTTAAAAAAGGTGAGAGTAGTAATCTGTCTGAAAAAAAAAACAAAAAACAAAAAAAGATGACTCAGACCTTCTATTGAAGGTAGACAGCAAGACACTGACCAAAGGACCGTCTCTTACAAGTGATCCTAGCCGTTCACATAAGTTAAAAGCAAACAAAACCAAAACTTCTAGCCGAGAGTGTTACTTGATAACTTTTCTCAGGATACTCACATGTTTTGAATAATTTTGCTGAAAGAGGAGTATTTTCCTTTTGGACCAGAGATGTGGGAGAAACCACTCCATGGAAACCATCAGAAGCTTGATGGGAATTGGGCCCTGCAATTCCAGCAGGAGTATGCTATCAAGGAGAGAGGAGAGGAAAAAAAAAAAAAAAAAAAAAAGAGAGAGAGCATGTTTAAACAACTAATAACTATATATCAGAATATACATAAATATATGAAATATCTGTATATAAATAAAAAGAAAATAACTAAGCAAATCATCCAAGATTATAAGTTCAAGGTTTTTTTTTTTTTTTTTTTTT